AGGTGTGAGCCTCTTCCTGGAAGCACATCCCAGCGGAAAAAACAGTGCCAGTGGTACCCACATGCATGCTCATCTTCAGGGAGCATCAACTCCCACCCAGAAAAGGTCAAATCACCACCTGAGAAAGAGCTTTATCGTAAACATTCCTGCTTTTTGTCTCTACAGCATCCTTTCTCTGCCAGCCCAGCCAGCCAGGCAGCCCCACTGTCCACAGTCACTCTCTGAGGGCACCACCCAACAAGGAAAACACAGGAAAGAGCATAGGGATGGCTCCCCTCATCCCTCCTCGAGGAGGAAACCAAGGGGGTGGGAGGGATCAGGAGTTAACTGCTGCTCCACATTACCTTGTCTGTCCCTCAGAGCCGAGGGATTCACTTCCCCACCAAAGCCAACCAGAGAGAAAAGGGCACAGAGCGAGCAGGGGTCGTTGTGCAATTTGTGGAATTCCCATTCACCTCTGGCTCTGTTGCTCACAAGACAGGCAGGGCAGCACAGGAASAACACACCAGCAAGGAGGGAAGGTTTATCCAGACTGACACCCCAAAAGGTGGAGTTCCACACCCCARCTGATGGGGTTCTACAGAAGCCTCTTCATTGGCTTCTACACAGAGGCCAAAAAATAAATGTATACCTTTTACATTGGCCATTTGAGAGACCAGGAAGTTTCCCACTGAGAAACTGGCTTCCTTAAAGTTGAATTTTCTCTTTATCCATCTCCATCAGAAAAGAATAGAGTGCTATTCTTAAAAGGGAACAGATTTTTTGGTTTTGGCCAGAGATAGAAATCTTTGTTGCTATATTTGGCTTCCAACGCAGGACTYTCTGCTTGCTGGTGGGAGGAGGAAATTAGAGCTGGTGTTATTCATAACTAAATGGGCACGAAAAACAAACCACCTCCCTTTGAACCTTGGTGCTACTATGGGCACTCACATAACAAATCATTTTCAAAGCCTCTGATACCTCTGTACAAGCAACAGCCAACATCAAAACTTTATTAGCCGCTCGTTTTCCCCGAGTGATAAACCATTGCAGATGTACAGTTATTGTCAAGGCAAACCCATTGGTGTGGTTCCCGCTGTTGGTTTGTTGTTTTGGGTCTTTTCTTTTCAATATAATTTCTTACTTGTCTTCAAAGAAAGCAAAAGTGATATTCTGGAAGAGAGACAGTTACTGGAAGGCTGTGGCATCCAGCCCCCCTCCTCCTCCTCCTCCTCCTCCCAGCAACCCCAAAAAAGAAATCAGCTAAATTACTCGGCATCCCAGCCCAACGCACAGCTCAGCCGTGAGGAATTCTCACCAGATGTCTTGGTCCCCACCCGGCCTCCCACGTCACGCAGGCAGCATAACCCCTCCGAGCCCGGGGTCCTGCTGGGACAACTGGCCCCACCACGGCTGGAATGTCCCTGCCAGGCTGATGGCACCCGTGTCCCACCAGGGACAGCCAGCCCTACCCTCAGCCCCAGCCCCAGCCACACCAGCACCGAGGATTCCWGTCCCACTCCTCTCCCTTTTTGTGACATCCCCCCTGTGCCAGGTGGATTGAGCACCACTGAGGTCACCCAGCTGGCTCTGAGGGAAGCACCTCTTCCATGTACCCTTCTAGGACCCAATTTCCAGCTGATAGCACCCAAAATGACGTTTATCCAGATGTAGCAAGATTCTCCATGGGTGTTAAGTCCACTAAAGCCAACAGAGGGGTAGTGACTCCCGTTTATGGAGGACGTGKATCATCATTATAAAATCAGTCACAAAATAATGTGTCACTTCCCCTGTTTTAATTTGAAACTAAGTATTCCTATGCAATGAGAGCATCAAAATAACCACAGTGAGCACCTGGAAACCCAGGTGTGAGACAGTGCAGCTGGAGACCAACTCTGGAAAGAGCAGAAGTTACAGGGAGAAGAAAAAGCACTTCAGGTGTCTCATTCCCCAGCTCAACAAGCTCTTCCTTCCTAAAGTACATTTCTCTCTGAGGGTAATTGTGGTTGTCTGAAAGCGGTCCCATGTTTCTTCTCACTGAGTAAAACACAGTGTGCACACCTTATTTCAAAGTAAGAAATTTTCTGCAGGGTTTATCCTGTTTTCCTTCCAAATTTCTAAGTCCCCACATCATTCTGGTGTTTTTTTAATAGCTGTCACATCCCTCTCTAGATCATTCCTCATGAGGCATTATTTGCTTCTTTTCCAGCAGTCCATATCCCATCTTCATCTCTATGTCCATGGAGATTGTCTCTGTCCCAAGAGCTCTCAATCCCCTTCTCTCCCACAAAAAGCTTTCTGAACCCTCTCTACCCCTTTCCTGCTCTCCTGTTYCTGGAGTTTCTGGCTGCCAGCTCTCTCCATCTCTTTCTCACCACCTGAGAAAGGGGAACACAGAGACTGCACAAAGTGCCCTGCTGCTGTCTGCTCCTGCAAACAGGGCCCAGAGCAGGGCATGTGKGGAAAATCCTGCTCATCTCCCGATACTCCCAAACAGAGCACATCCCATATGGTCAGGATCTTCAGAGGATTTTGCAACTAAATTCTTAACAGCTCCCTGCTGATTGCGTGCAAGTGGCAATTTTTCAAAAGCTGAGTGCTTGGCCAAAGCTTGGAGGATTTTTTTCCCCCACTGCTGGAGCAGTAAATGATCTATCTGTGACCAAAACACCAAACCTTCAGCCCTCGAGCCAGAACACAGACATGCAAACACTTCTTAATTAAACACTTGTAAAATAATTTTAGCAAGGGCAGTTACCTCCTTAGCGGGAATTACTGAGCTTTGCCAAAAAAAATCAATTTGAGGTAAATAACTTCAGTGGAAACTCTCTGCCTGATGACTGTCAAAACTGCCAGGAAATTATACAATTTAAAAAGGGTCTTACACCAAGAAGTCTCAGGTTGTGATTCCACTAGGTCTGATTGCAAAATAGCCTCTAGTGTTAATGTCATTAAAAAAAGATATTAAGAATAAARGAGGACATTGTAGCATAAGCACTTGACAAGTGCAAATTCTGAAAAGGCAAGCCTGTGCCTTCATGAGATCTCTGCTTGAAATCCCTTCGAAGCAAAGCTTTCACTGTTAAATTTCAGCACAGAACCAGTTTCGAACACTTGTTTTACAACATTTTCAGCAGAAGACAAATCCTTGGCTCTAAAAAGTAATTTCGTGCAGAGAATAGAAACTCAGGATGCAGAAATTTACAAAGAGATTTATGAGTTCTTCAGTTAAAGAATAAAAAGAATTAGCTAATTGCTGAGAAATAGACCAAACTGAAAATGCTACATTAAAAAATATAACAATAAAATTCACATTAAATTATTTATTCAGTAATAAACAGTAACACTTTTCTTTACAAGGCCCCCCCCAATCAGTTTTGATGGAGGAGCAAAAATTTCAATGGAGTTTTGAGGGAGGCAAGGTGGGAGAAAWGGTGGGGGGAAGAGAGGGACCCTGATTTGACTGATGTTTTTAAAAAACAGCTACAAGAGCAAGCAGGGAAAGTGCAGCACAGCTCTGCAGATAATTCAGGTGCTCACTGTGATCACTCAGCTCCCAAAAGCACTGGCTGTCCACAGGTACCAAACACCTGAGCTCACCAGAAGCAGGGGGTTGGTCCCAACCATCCCAATGCCACTGGAGATTTCCAAGGACACAGAAGGAAGGAGCAGCATTCCAACTTCTGCAGGCCATGGTGCACAGCTGATACATCTTGGAGGCTATTGAGCCTTTGAGCAGGTGCATGATATAACTGGGATGTTTCAATGACCCTCATCCCTAAACTTTCTTTATTGGGAGTTAAAWTWTTTAAAAAATTRTGCATTTCCCAGGGAGTTCCAGCCCAGCTTTCACAGCGCTGTCACGGACGCTGCAGACCAAGGGCAGCTAAAACATGGTTTGCCAGAGACATCTACAATTCCCTGAGGCAACCAGCTCACCCCATGAGTACAAACCTGCCAACACAGCCTAAATTCACTTTATTGAGCAGTGGCTGCCCAGCCACGTGCACACAGCACTGGAGAGGATCATCTCTGCTCCCAGCTCTGCCAGCTCAACCTTTCCAGCACCACTCCTGCCTCTCCTGCCACAAGGACTGCATTTGGAACCTGCTCAGGCAAGAGTCCCTTATTTTTTAAAAGGAACATCTTCCTGCACCACAACTCTCAGATTGTGCCCACAGGGCTACTATGTAAAAGCAATATTTATTTTTAAATATGTTCCTCTTTACATGAGATTTTAGTTTCCAACAACATGCATCAAGTTTGTTTTTTTTTAAAAAAAAAACACAAACAAGCAATATTTATCATCCAAATACCCTTTAGAAGCTCAAAGGTTGACATACTAAAACCCGGAATTCCACTTAAAAATATATATATTTGTAAATTGTTTATAAGAAATATGTGTTGCTGCTCCACCRATATGGAGAAAAAGCTTGTATCTGAAATTAGTTTAAAGAATCATAATTAAAGATAGGCTTATCTGCTGAAAGGCAATATATTGCACCTCTCTACACAACTGCTGATTCCATGGTCATCTTTACTGATACAAATCAGGTGATTTGAAAGAGGTTTTCTTSATGTGTTTTCATTGTGTTGTTTGGGGTTTTTCTAACAAGTATCAAAAAATTATATTTACTCCTGAGTCAACAGAGAATGCTATAAAATGCCTCCATTTTCCATCTCAGATGAGATTTGGTGAAGTCACTCACTTCATTTCCAAGGGATGTGCATTCAATGCATGAGGGTGGAACGGAGGGAGCCAGGTGCAGCTACACCTGGATGTGTATGGATATATTTGCAGAGAAATATAAATATACACATGAAGGATGTGTGAGGGGGAGAGCAAGATGTACACAAGAGCCTGGAAGCAGAAAGGCTGGGGGCAGTGAGGCAATCCTAAGGGCAGGTGAGGGGAAATGTGACTCTCCCCTCCCTGAAGGCTGTGATGAGAGATCCGCACTCAGAAGCATTTTGATGCAGGGGGGGGATGATTGAGAGAAAGCTGAACTTATGTGCCTGCTGAGGGAAGCAATCAGAACACAGTCCATTTTGCTATTGCCAAGTGCAGCTTATTCAGCTCTCCAGAAATTCCAGAATTCCAACCTCCCGGGCAGTCAGCAGCTGCACGATTCCATCTTCTTGCTGGGATTGAAAAAAACTGGCACCTGTCTCTCAAAAACTGGCAGACAGCTTRAACCCTCCCAGTCTTCAAATGAAGACATAAAAATTGATGTCAGATTTCTCAACATTAACAGGAATACAATAAATTCCTGGACAACTTTAAGGAGGTCACTATTTTGAGTTTCTTGAAATGAAACAATAATTTCCCTGTGACAGAGTACAACATGTTTTATAAGTCCTCTCAAAATGAATCATCCACTTTCTTGGGACAGCATCAGAACACACCACACAGAAAAAGAAATGAAACAACTCCTTCAGTAATGCATTAAGACACATAACTTATCTGTGACCTGATATCAAGGGCGTTTTTTCCTATCTGCAGGAACATGAGCAGCCTCAACCTTTCTGTTTCTCGCTGCCCCCAGTTCCCAGCACTGCAGCATTGCAGGCGAGTRCTCCCCTCCTCTTTCAAGAGCAAAACCATGGCAGCATCTGCTTCTCATAAACCCTYCTGTGCGTGTGTGCAAGGGTGCGTGTGTGGGGAAGAGAGAGAGAACTAAATCTGCTGAATTTAACTTAAAAGTTTGTCACAAAGAAGTTGGGGATTTTTTTTGTCTCCTTTTCCATCCCTCAAAYTGCAGAACACAGAAGTAGGTCTACTGCTACAAGCTTAGGTTTTTCCTTTCAGCTCACTTGTTAGCACAGGGGACAATGAGTGACTGAGGGGAAAATCAGAGTTTATTTCACTTTCAAGATCGATGCACTGGTGCACGAATGGCTACAGACCACAGCAGGTTGTTTTTGGCACTTGTCCCCCAGAGTTTGCAGAAGTTCCTCCAGCTCCCTCCCAGGCTCAGCAGTGAAAGCTGGGGGTAGAACAGTAGTCCTGGAGGTGGAAGAGGCAACAGCTTCACCACTTTTTCACCCCCATTAACCAAAAACTCAATGATACAATCCAGGAAGAGACTCCAGTGCAAACTGTGGGCCTGGTTCTTTCCTGTCCCATTTGGCTTTGACGTCTTCAGGGAACCAGAGGAGGTTCCTCAGGGAAGGGGAAGGCAGACTGCTCTTGTCAGGCTTTATTTCAGGAAGTCAAACACAACACACCTCAACAAGAAATGCCTTTTCTTTTGCATCCCCTGCCACCCAAACTCTCTCTCCCTAAAGTTCAGAGGACGCATCATCTCTTTGATTTCCACCATTGCCAAGTCCAGGGGGAATTTTTTTTTTCTTCCCAGTATTTCTAATATTGTCAACATTCTTAAGCCAGAACTTTTTCTTGAGTTTTTTTTCTTGAGATCCTTCCTGAACTGTACTGTGCTGATAAGAAAGTCAACTGTGGCAGCTGGTACTCCACTCCCTCCCATACAGTTTTCCCCAATTTACTGACCAGTTGAAGAGCTAGCTCCACCAGAGCAGCAATACTATACAGAACTGTCATGAGAGGGGAATTTATTGAGAGAAAGAAACACTTACGGACTATAAAGATGAGGGGAAAAGTCCCACTACATTTAATTCATCATCCCAACACAGAGACTCCAACCCCTTTATTTCAAAGCAATATTTAAGCATAGTTCGTTCAGCATTTATCTGCTGCCTGAAACTTCGAATCAGCAAGGCAGAGACTTCAGGCTCTTGCCAAACTGTGATRCAATCCTAATGCCTCCAGTGCCAGCATGTCAAGCCCTCTCCTGTGATGAAGGAGAACACTCAACACTTCACAGGATCAAGTTCAGAAAGCCTGGAGGGAAGCAGCAGTGCAGGAGGGAGCCCTGAACTTCGGAGCAACACGCGCTTCCCAACGCCCCCTCCCCTTCACACACACACCCATGTGGTCTCCACCTGACAAAACTCCATTTACCATGCTCCGTGCCTGAAAATTAAACTCTTTCTTATCTCAGCYGTGTGTTTGTATCTTGGTTTTCCCACTCAGCCTGTGTGTCTCTCAAACAGGGATGGCTGAGAACGGTGATGACAGAAATACAACACTGTTAACACCTTGGGGAATATCATGAGGGACCCTGGCTGCACAAGCCAGTTATTTTTATAAACCTGGATTTTTTTTTGTTTGTTTGTTTTCCCTGAATATCCATGCTGTAAGTTATCACTTTGAAACAGCTTAGCTGAAATCCTGCCTGTAAGATTGTACTGATWTTTGTGAGCATTACCAGTGTCTGCAACATGAACCACAGGGAACTGTGCTCAACAGCTTCAAAGGATCATAGATGAGGCCCATATTCATCTAATTTAATTCTGATTAATTCCTAATTCGTGTTTGATTTAGGATTGTTTGGTCCATTTTGACAGAATGGATTGGAATTGCAGTTCCTGTAACCTCCAGCTCTGCTCGACGCTAAAGGGGTTTGCGAGTTCCTGATAACCAGCAAAGCACAAAACCACCTTTAGAGGCAAGGAAAGTAAAAACACTTTTACTACAATCTAACACCAGGAAAAAAAACATTTGGCTGAAACTTTAGGTGCGAATTATACTTGCTTAAGCTTGAACAAAAGGACAAAAACATCRAAGTCTAGTAATGTGGAGACAAAGGAGTTTAGCTCTTTAAAAAGAAAGGAAAGATAGACATTTGAGGTAACAAATAAAAAAAAAAAAAACCAAAATGCACAAACACATCACAGACATCTAAAAATAGCATTTTATACATTTTTGCCAGTGCTTCTCTGAGAGCAAGTTCTTTAAACAGAACTTAACAATTTAACAACTTTTTTTAAAAAAATATGTCATCCTAAAATAGCCCATCGATCCTTACCCAAACTTTCTGTATTTCTACAAAAATAGATGCACAAAGAGCTACAAAATACTGTATTCCTGAAAGAAGGCGCACTGTAGCCRAGGGAGAGTCTTTTTCCTGACTATTGAGACTGTCCATAAAAATACCAAGCCGAACAAAACGAAACACTGTTAAAAGGAGCAGAAAGGAGTTAGGTTGCCCAGCTGCAGCAGGCTCAGATGAGGAAAGAAAGAAAAGTTAAGTTTCTGGTTTTTCTYCAACGCTGTGGGACCCATAAACAGCCTTGCAAATAAAAGGCTCAATAGCAAAACCASAATAGTTGGCTCTTCATCTTCATGTGTGTCCTTTGCTCCACGCAGGAGGAGTCACCCACTGCTGCACCACCCTCACTCCAGCTCTGGCTGCTCTGGATTCCTCTGCACTTCAGAACCAAGCAGTCTCTTTGCTCTTGTCCTGATGCTGTAGACCTGCGTTTCAGAAAAGAACAGGAAAATAATTAATTAATTATAAGTGATAGATTAAAATAAATAATTTTATTAAAATTAAATTTAGAAATAATAATTAAAATTATAAAATTGAAAATAATATTATTCTTTAATATATTATTACTAAAAATGAATACTTTTTTCTTCTCCCTCCCCAAGCAACTGAAGTAAAGACAAACAAGTTTTGATTTAAAAAAATAAAGAAAAATGTAAAATGAAAAGAAAATGCCCACAATTTATCAGCTTAAAGGACTTGTCAGCAACAGTGTTACTGCTCCAAACTTTTTAGTTTATGAGGAGGAAAATTAAATTGCACTGAAGTCTGATTCTGGCTCAAGCAGCTCAGAAATGCTGACAAAATTCCTGCAGGCGCTTCCTTGTTTTGAGCCAATGAAAAAATCCTCCAACAAGGTCTGCATCGATTATCCAGCAGGCAAAAGAGGAATATTTCCTGTTAGGGGCCAGCCACAGCCACCACCTCCTTTAGAAAAGGCCTGGGACACTTTAGGATCTCACAGTTTCTGYGGCATTTCACCCCATAGATCAGAGAGGGATAGCGCTCCTCCAGTGTGCAAAAAACCCCAAATAATTCCACCTACAGAGTGCAAGATTTCCAGCCAAGAATGGCTAGTGCTTCCACATGGGGGAAAATTAATGATTTTCAGCTTGAGTTTGTTATGAGCTCCTCTAACATTTTCCTTTGTAAAAAGTGAGGACTATCTAATAAATGTGGGGCTGTGTCGTGGCTTGAGCATTACAGACTTGGAACCTGTGTTATAATCTTGGATTTCTCTGCTCCAGAGGGATTCAGTCTCCTCYAGATTCACACCTAACAGGGCTTTGACCTAAAATCCAGRCAGAAAATCCAGAAAGGGAGGTGCMGATTAAATATCCCAAAGAAGATCCGTTCTTGCTCATTTATAGGCAAAGCAGAGTGATGCAAGCACACATTTTCAGAGGTAGCAAGGCACACAAGCCTCAGCAATTTAAAACCTGCCCTTTGATGTTTTGAGGCAAATAAATCACATTTCATGAAATGAAGGTAGATTTCCCACTATAAATCACCATTCCCATTCAGACAGCAAAGTTCCACTGTGTCATCCTGTACACTGCCCTGCTAGGGAGTGAACTGAGGTACCCGATTTGCCAAGAATTTAGGGCTAATTTCACCCCTAATGCAAATAGGTGCAACTCCAGACCTCAGGGATGCTGTAACCATCCGGGTCCATTTGATCTTTCGCCTGTGTAAATTGACAGACCCATGTGCTAGGCATGGATCTCATTTCCATATCCAATCACACAGGGAGACACAAAAAAAAAACCACAGGTTTTCAGAAAGCTTAACAGGCATGGAGGGATCAGATCTGCCAGATACCTCCTTGTTTTAAGGGTACAAACAGTTAAATATTTAATGATTCCAGAGCTGAGCTGCAAAGCAATTAGCACTCACATAAAAGATGWGAGCACATGGCTCTCTTCCCGTGAGGATTCCAAAATTTTGTGTCCAGCAGGGRAGAGACAGGGACAGCAAAGCCCACGGGTGTGGTGCACCAAACCTTGTTCAGTGCTTTCTGCTCCATGTCACACACACTTGCACCTATTTCTTAAGATTGGAAAAACTGGGATATCCCTCAGCCAGAGCATGCCTAAAAMAACATGCTCAAAGCTCTTTATTCAATGAAGATGTTTCCTTGTTGCTTAAGAGCTATTTGTTTTCCTGGCAGCATCATACACGGAATCATGAACTGCTGTTAGTTCCCTTCAAAGCTCTCTCAAAGTTAGTGATGACAATTTGGGGTTATTTTCTCCCTGCTGCTTACAGGTTTGTTAAACAAAGATAATCCGAAAAAAAAAGGAAAAAAAAAGTACTCAAGACAACAGAAACCTTTCAGAGCATAAAGAAGTTCACCAGTGGAGACTAAAGGACACTAGAGGCATTGGAAGCCTCTAAGAGAAACAGGTTACTATGGATCCTAGCAGCTTTAAAAAATGACAGACACACATAAGGGATCCTCCACCTGACAGCAGCAAGGGGCAGAAGGGGAATAACCAGGTGAACAGGGACCTTCCTAGCCAGGTGCCTTTGTGAGACACAAATAACAAACCAGGAGGTTTGAAGTCTAGTTATGGACACTGAACAGCCTGGGAAAACAAACCAAAAACCCAAAGCTGCCCTGTTTACAGAACTGAGTGTGGAACACTTTCCATGCCTTTTCCTCATTCTACTCCTATCTCCTCCAAGGCAAGGCCATCTGCAATCCTAACACAGGATCCAAGGCCAACCCTGCTACAAACAAAGAGCTTCCCCTCACTGCGGAATTGTGGCACCTTCCCCTCAGCAAGGACATTGCCCTCACACTGCATGAGCCAGCCCAGCACAATTCCCCTGCCCTGGAACACCAGCACTAGAGCTAACTGCCACATGAACATTACACAGGTACTGTGAAAACATCTAAACACCTTTAATGAGTTGTGACAAACTTGTGGGATGAGCGTGAACAATGACAAATGTACAGAAGGGATCTGACTGGCCCCTCACATTCCAAATTCAATGTATCACACTTATGTGCAGCCATTTCCAAAAGCAGACTTTCCACAGTAAGGTAGAACTAAACGATGTTGATTAATTCACTTAAATTTGAAGTTATTCACCTCAATGTAACTTTACATTACACCTCAATGTAACTTTACATGATAAGGAATGTGCATCTCAATTTTAGCAGATTTACAGCCGTCATTCATGCCAAAGCCCTGCCTTGGTTTCAGTGTGTTGGGGCTGCTGGAAGCTTCCAGCAGCACATCKGTCCCCCAGCAGGACAGGAGATCCCCCCAGGCTCTGCAGGAGCAAGGCTCTGCTCTCCTCCCCAAGGGCTGCCTGCAGCACAGCCACTGCTCACCTGAGGCGTGCAGGACACCTCCCTGCACTGAGGGCTGCAGCCATCAGGAACACTGCAAGACAGAAATTCTCCTCCCAAATCCCTGATCTTCAGTGCTGGATGTGGCTTGTGCACCCCTACACTCACAGGAGGATTGAGTGGTGACACCGGGATCGTGGCTGCAGCCCTGAACCACAGGGTGAGAGCCTGACCTCGCTCTGCCTGACAGCAGCAGGGCAAGGAATTGAAACCCAAACTCCAACAATCTGTGCTTATTCCAACCTGTTTACATCAATTCTTGACAAGAAATGTGCTTTTAGCATGAGCACTGTAGCTTGTGCACTTTGGAAAGACAGCAGCAGTCACCAACAGATTGTAACAGATCCCGCTGCAGACCAGCATTTTCTTCAACCCCATTTGTACCCYCACAGAAGCTCCTAAAAGGGTTAATTTGCAGCATACAGCGTGAGGATTAAGCCACATTTAATGGCAATCAGGTAGCTGAATCCCTCCTCATCCCCTAAACCAGGACCATGTAAGTCCAAACAGATGTTCCAGACAGATCAATAGTTTGTCAGCTCTGAAGGGCGCTGTGCTGACGTCCCACACAAAGGGTTCTGAGACATAAATTCCCAAATTCGTGCATGCTGAACCTCCTCTGAACCTCTGGGTGATTCAGCGCAGCCCATTCATGAGATCCATGATTTGGTTTAGCATGGCAGGGATGCAACAATGTAGCTGGAATTGGGTAAGATTACAGCCCATCCCAACGCCGTCATTCAGTGTAATCCAGCGTGAGGAATGTTGCAAATGTTCCTGTAATCGYATGTGACAGCAGCACAAGAAATGTGACCCACGGTAAGGGGGGCAATCAGTCTGTGTGTGAAGGACTGAGAAGTCTAGGTACAGACCAAATGAACTTTTTGAGCATAAATCACCTGAAGCTCATGGAATCTGAGATATTGACAGCTCCACAGGTTATACGAGCAAACGCTCTCAGAACTGACATATTCATGTCACTGTGGCCTTACCCTCCTCAGGAGAAACCACTTCTATGTTGCTAAAAGTCTGTTCTAGGCCCTCAGGTCTGCTGAGATTCTCTGTTTCTCTAAACCAGCYCCACATTTCTCCCCTTTCTTTTCCCCCACGGGAACTCACGGGCTAAAACCCACACATCAAGCACGGGGCACAAGTTCACAGTTCAGATCTTTTCCACTGCCTCCCACGCCGAGCAGCCACAAGACATGCAAAGCACTGCCAAATCAGGATCCTGACAAAATTAGCACCCAACTGTACCCTCCACAGGGATTTTCACAAGGGGCAGGCAGCACCCAGCCAAAGCTGTATCTACTCTCTGAGGCAATGCTAGGAGCCAGAGTCCTTTTGGAGACATGAGAAAAAAAAAACCTCACAGTCTGGGCTGGAGCTGTACCTAAGCCACTCAGTGGTTTCTCCTGACTAACAATTCCTTACACATTTCCCAGTTCTGTCCCCAAAATGCTAAATCAAATACCAGGGCTCTGCAGAGACCTATCATTCTGTACCCAAAAGCATAAAAGCTTTAAAATATAATCCTTCTTGCTGGTTTAGCTGGAAATGTTATTTATATTTAAATTGTCCAGTGTTAAGAATCCTAATAAGCTTTTTGTTAATTTTCTTGACAGCAAGTGGCATAGAATTTAGAAGGTGTTATTGGTTCCCAGCTGCTTTAAAGGGAAGAGAGATTTATATTAGGTTCATGGTATTTCATCCTTAGAAACAGCCATTTTTTTCCCCACCCATTCTTTGTGCCCCTGACCATTAATCAAGGCAAGGAAGTGCTTCAGACACMTTGAATCAGAGAAATCTATCAAAAAAGGAGACAAATACTTTAAGGAAAAGTTAACAAAGGTTCAATCCTTAATCAGACAACATGATGTCTTTAAGAAGTACTGATCTGCAAGGATTGCTGCTCGTGAGATAAGYATCAGACTGAGAAAGGAGCCCTCAATGGGGCCTGTGAGCTCCAGAATGGAGGAGCTGGGAGCTGTCAGTCACCCATCACCTGACTTCGAGAGAATTCCAACACTGAGAGCTCTCAGACTGCCCCAATACAGAGACAAGAGCCTGCCACTCAAAACTCACAGTAAAATAAATTTAATTCATAGACCTCTGCCTAGACCCTTCAGAAAGATGTTGAGTTTGATGGCAAGCACAGCTCAGTCAGCTCTCTACGTGACACCTGGATACCACACAGGAAGGAAATGCTGGATTATTCCAGTTTAGGATGCAGTTAACTGCAAGTTATCAGTGCATTGGAGATACATGCTGGTGAATGTACACATGAAGTAGCTGAACATGGAAGCATCGTCAATATTTTCCCACAAGATTAAAAGAAAAACAAACAAAATTCTGGATCATGTCACAACTCAGGGACCAAGGCAGACAAAGGTCCCTCAGCAACAGGCAGTGAGAGCTGGATGTTCCACAGCTCACCTGCCCTGACAGCACTTACAGGAGGGATTCCCACCTGGAAATACGTTTGAACACCATGGCTCTTAGAAGTTCATGTTTCTGCAATACTGGAAATACACTTGAACACCGTGGCTCTTAGAAGTTCACATTTCTGCTCACACTCTTCCTGCTACAAATCACAAACAACACAACAACAAAAAAAAATTAAAAAAGAATAAAARTCCAACCATCTTACCTGTATCGAAGCCGAAAGTTGGCACAATGTCCACTGTCCCGTGGAAGGCTCCAGGCCAAGCTGAGGTAGCGCTGGTGACGGCGGCAGGGTCGGTCTTTGTCCCGTCACCCTGTGCCGCGGGGATCCTGGCGGCGCGCACGGCCGGCAGCAGCACGGAGCCGTAGCGGGGGTCACGGTGCGAGCCGGGCGCGGGGTGATGAACGTGGGGGTGGTGGCGGTGCACGTACACRTCGTGCACGTACGAGGGGCTCACCTGAGATGCTAAAGGGTAATGCCACGACTCGGAGGCGGCCGGGGGAGGAGCTGGGGCGCTCTGGTGGAGGCCGTGTCCCGGCCAGCTGCCGGGGTCTGCCGTCGGGAAGGTGCCTGGTGCAGAAACGGGGAAATCGGGGTGCACCCCGCCTAGGCAGGGTGGTGGAGGAGGCTGGTAAGAGCTGGTCCAAAACGACGTCGGGAAACCGCTCCTTTGGCTTGAAATCGCTGAGCTTTCTGGCAGGGAGGAAAGGAGGCAAGTGTGACTGAAGCTGAACAACACATTTCACAGCAAAAACCCCACAGCGATTCACTGCTCTCTGAAGTTTGTAACACCAAACTCAAACCTCCTCCATAATTACAGATGACAGAACATTTGAGGAAGGAGGGGACGTCTCAAGACTGTCCAGTCCAATTCCCCTGCTCAAGTAGGGTCACCTGGARCAGGTTGTGCAGGACAGTGTACTACTGTCAGATTTTGAGTGAGATCTAAACTCCACAGCCTCTCAAAAAAACCCACCAACAGCCAAGCTAAGAAACCCAACAAAACAAGAAGTTTTCTTGTATTCAGATGGAATTTCCTGTTTTTCCATCTGTGCCTATTGCCTCTTGYCCTCTCAGCAGGCATTGCTGAGGAGAGCCTGGCTCCCCTATCTTCCCTCCCTCCCATCAGGTTTTTACACAGGTAAGATCCTCCCAGAGAGGATTTTTCTTCTTCCGGCTGTAGAGTCAGAGCCCTCTCAGGATCCCGGTCCAGGAATTGTAAGGAGAGGTTAACTCATCATTTAGAAAAGCAGCTGCTTTGGTTGCAAATGCTTCTGGGGAGAGAGAGAACCAGCTCACACTGCGGAACAGGAAACATTTGCCTAAAAGCAGAATACCTGTTCTTCTCAAGCTAATTGCATGCTTTGATGGGATAAAGGTCACATCTAACACAGCTGATGGTAGTCCCTTATAGAATGTATCAGGATGCCCTCTATCCAATAGGATCATACAAGCAGAAACGTCTATGTGGTTCAAAAAGGTTTTTGCCAGAAATAAAAGACTTGCTGCTTCTTACAGCCAGGGCTCAGCTTATATTTAAATGGATTCCAATACCTCAATACATTATGAAATCACATTCTAAAAATTCCTCTTTTGRAGGAGCAGTTAGTGTTTTTGATGTGCAGGGAAGTCTTGGCATCTCCCTGCTCACAGTCCTCTTGCCAGCTCATGCTAGAAAGTACTGCTTCATGCAATATGTCTCAGCTCCAACAGGATTTTTTTTTTTTTTTTTTGGTGAAAGATGGAAACATAAAAATACAGAACTTCATCTCTGATGAAAGAACAGTCATAAAAACAGCCTATGGAGAAATGAAGCCAGCGAAGTTTAATATTTGATGAGGCGAGGAATCCTCTGTTCCTCATAACTTTTGTAAAAGTACTTCTTTTTTTTTTAAATCACCTTTTGTTTTGCTTTGTTCAATAAGCAGCTGGAATGAGACTTGGATGAAGACACCATTGAGAATGAATGGATTCTTCAAACACTCCTGCCTCTGAACTTCACTTATACAAAAATATTTTGGAAACAAAAAACCTGGAAGTGTTTTCTGACGGCATCACTAGGACACTGAGGCCYCCATTTTAAAATCCAGTAAAATCATAGAAATTTTTCCACAGATTAATTGGCTTTGATTTAGGAAGTTTATTGAGTCTGATTAACTTCTGATATTGGAAATGAACTTTGCAAATGTACCATGGACAAACGTAGAGGATGTTTTGTGCCAAAATGCTTCAGAAGCTGCAAGCTTCTCTAGTAAATTGCMCACCAGCCTTTTCTTCAAAATGTTGGGTTGTTTTTAGCAAAGTATTTCTATTGCAATTCATGCCTGAAGACTGGAGAGAGCTTCGAGCATATTATGGAAGCCACAGCACTGCTCCTAACTACTACTCCAAGGTATTGTTCCTTGTTTGTAAACCATCCCTTGAAAAAAAGGAAAAACCTGTGAAAAACCTGTGCAGGTTTCACAAAGCCATAGCTGCTGTCATTGTCACAGCCCCACTGACATCACTGAGTGTGCCAAACCCCACTGGAGATGCAGTTTCCACCCTTGTCATACAAACATGCAGGGAAATTTCACCCACCCCAAGTGCTCCCAGATACCTATGGATCACAGGAAACAGCCATTTCCACACAGAAAGAAAAAAAAGAATTTAAAAAATCACTGTACTTCCATGGGCTTTCAGGAGGSATTTAACAAAATTTGTCTGCCAAGAAAGATGCTGCAGTTACCAAAATTCCCTACCCTAAGTAMAGGGTAAACGTGCCAGAAATGCACACACTGCAAAAGAGGTAACACTTGGGGTTTTCTCCCTCTTAAGGTAAGAGAGAAAAGCAAGAAAGAGAAACAACCCAACACTTCCCTCTAGGAAAAAYATGTTGATAAAAATATCATTAAAGTAACAATTAGTGTCAAGGYATCATTAGCACCTGGAAAAGATTCCAGGCACCTGAAACTGAATTTTCATGCTACAGGAGCCTGCTGTAGGGAACAGTATTTTTWAAAAAAATCAGTTTTCAAATTAATTTTAGCCTAAACTGATCAATWGTTTCAACATACAAATGATGAAAACTTGCTCTTTTCAGAACAATGGGTTCTATTTTTTACAGATAAGCAAAATCCCTCCTCAAAACAAATGAAAAATCTCCCTGCAACATCACCTCAGTGATCAAATCAGTTTGTGTTTTCATCAGAACACCTTAAAAAAATAAAAGAAAACAAGCACAAAAAGATGAAAAAATAAGTCAAAAACATTGTTAACCCCTCCTTTCAGATAAAGGAGAAACCGCAGTGAGCTGGGGAGCCAGTCCATGCTCACACACTTTTCATTTAAACCCGCACCTCCCAAAACAGATCTTGCAAAAGCTTTTTCTTTCCCATTTATCTTTGAATAAGAAATAGACAGCAATTCTGGCTACCCATGAATTTTATTTATAGAGAAACTTCAAGCTAATGACACTTTCACTTCTTTAGGCAACAGGATACAAATTCACATTGGTTTGCTCATCTCTGTTACTGCACACAAACCAGGAGACCGAGCTGTCRGTGTTGTTCCTTCACCTCCTTTTTCAAGCAGGAACATTTCAGAAACCCCTTTGGGCCTGATAAAACCCTTGTCAGCCTCTCTTCTCTGGAGTAAGTAGCAAACGCCCTGAGCTCTCCCAGCACCACCCCAGGATTCTYGTGCCCCTCCAGCAGGTGCAGGATGGCACAGGGTGTATCTCCTTACGTTATTCCAGGAAGATGTTCAGGACACACAGACCTCCATTCCCCACCCAGGGCAYGGGGCACACAGGGTCAGGAGCTGGAGAACCTCACGCCAGGCCACCCATGTTCCCTGTAATGCCCTCTGGGGACACCTGTGAAACCACAGCATGGGGACAGGGAAAACAGCAGGGTATGTCTGAGGCCAAAGGGAAGATGCTCAGCCCTACCCACAGAATGTCCCCAAACCCGCTGGAGAGGGGTTGCTGTGGGCATGGGGTCTCTGGGGACTGCCTCCATCCCATTGCTAAAACATTTATAGCCTGTCTGGGCCATTTATAAACGCTCCAGTCTCCTTTTTAGCAAGCAGAGGTTCAATCCTGCTCTCAGTCGAGTCAACGGAAAATTTCCCATTAACGTTAATGGTCCCAGCTCAAGCCATAAATTCCTCCAGCTCCCCAGCCACTTGTGCTGACCTTTGCTTAAACTTCCTTGGATTTGTCATCATCCTTCTGGAAAGCAAGTCCTTCTGTGCTATTTTTCTCTTCACAGCTGTTTCCAAAAATCCCATCTCTCTTTAGTATCTGTGGCTTTCACCGAAGCAGTTTCACCTCCACGTGGCTGACCAGGAACACCTCTGGTGCTGCTCAGACCCCTCCAGCATCCCTCTCATCAACCCTGTGTGAGGCCATCGCTCACCATACTTGGTCTTCACCCCTCTGCCAGCCCACATCAGGATGTGATCAGATAATTCAGGTGTGGGCATCTGAGAAACTACCCAGACTGTCACACCCAGCAAATCGGAAATAGCATCAGACCGGCACRCTGTGTCCAGTCACTGATTTGGGAATCTTGTCTGTAAGACCTACCTAGTGTCTCTGGGAAGATCTGCTCTTTTATGTGATCTGCTTTATTTATCTGATCACCTTTTTTATTTATCTGATCACTTAACGAGATGTATTAGGACAGCGAGTAAATGCCTCTCAGAATCAGCCACATTTCTGCTCTCTGCTCAGAGGCAGAGGAGCCCCATCCCCATTTTACACCCAGCAAAARCCATAACACCATCTGAACCTCTGCCATGAGCAGGCTGCAGGGGAAAACACCTCGTGGCTGCAGCCACAGCAGCCAGGGCTTGTCCCCCAGCATTTTCCAGCCCRTGCTGGCTCCTCCCTGCCTGGAAAGCGGCTATGGACAAATCCGAATCACCTGGCAAAGTCACTCGAGAAGGCTCTGCATGGGCTTCCTTCACATCCAAGGCCAGCACCCCAAACAGCTTTGCTCTTGCCTCACAGGCCAAGTTTCACACTTGGAGCTCATAAAAAAGCCTCCAACCTTGCAGCAGACGTTTGTGAAGGCACGTGAGTGCTGCCCGGTCCCGTCCAGCCCCTGGCAGGGACACCAGCTATGGAATGAGCGGGAGACACCTGCTCCTCCCATGCCTTTGAAGCCTTTAACACCTCAGATCACTCAACCCAAGAAGCTCCTCGGCTTTTGGAGATTTGAGGGGGGATTTTCCACCTCCACAGAGAAGTCAAATTTCAGTTGCAATATGTATACTACACAGCCCGAGTAAGCCACGCGGCAGAGAGCGAGCTCCCGCCCCTCTTACCTCTCCACAGAGGATTCAGCCCTGCCTTGCTCTTGGAAAGGGCAGTCTCTGCACTGAAGCTACTGGCTTGGCTCAAAGCTCTGGAGAAGTGTTCATCCACCACGGAGCCAATGTCTCCCTGGAAGTAGGTGAAGAGGACGCAGCGCGAGTTCAGGTACTCCATCTCGGCAGGCTGGTCTTTGTCRTCCTCCTCCTGCTTGCTGGGAAGGGTCACCTCCAGGGACTCCTGCATCTTGTACACTGCTAACTTCTTCTGGGAGCAGGAACAAAACAAAAGAGGTGCATCAGTGGTGGCATTTAGAGGAAGCTCAACATGTGCTTTCCTTAACCAAAAATAACTGAATACACCAAATAACTGAATATCCATTTCGTGATTAAAGCTGAACAACTGGGTTATTTCACGCTGGCATTTCACAAAAAGAGAATAGCAGCGCCCACTGGGAGTGTCTGCTCCCCTCACACAGATGGACCTGCTTCTCAGGCATGTTTCACAACCACAGTTTATCAGCACCAGCTTTCACTCAATACTTTCAAAAGAAAACAGACAGGCTCTAACAATTCCCTCCTGACTCCCACCTGGAGAGGGTATTCCCATCAATAAAGGCTGCAGAAATCSAGCCCGGCCCTGTGGAAGGGTGGCCAGACACACAGCATCTGCATTTCAAACATCCAGCTGGGCAAGCACCAGGTTTCTCTGGCCACACTGRTCCAGCTGAGCAGACATGGCCCTCTGGATTCCCCACAATCACTGCTGCAAGGATGGGAGAGCTCCCTGCTTCCCGGAAAATTTTCTACTCTATTATCAAACTCCACAAAATGCATGAATTTTCACTCACTGATGATTTAATTTTTATCACAGGGGTGGTGATCGCAGTTTGGTCAGGGATTTATGGTCTTATTTTTTTCTGGTTGGTTTGGGGTGGTTTATTGTTTTTTTGAGGTTGAGGTAAGATGATTTTTTTCTCCCCTTTTCATATTTTCTTTTTGCTCTTTTTTTTTTTTTTTTTTTTTTTTTTTTTTTTTTTTTTTTTTTTTTTTTTTTTTTTT